TTTGCATGCTGCTGACCTGGGCTCAATTCCCAGCATCCCATATGGTCCCGTGAGCACCGCCAGGAGTAATTCCTGAGTGCAGAGCCAGGTGTAACCCCTGTGCATTGCTGGATGTGACCCAAAAAGCAAAAAAAAAAAAAAGTAGGAAGTGTTGTTAACATTAAACATTGTAATTAAAGCATTGTAATTAAACCTTTCTTTCTATTCACTGGAACCTACTGCACAGACCTTCCAGGGTCCCAGACAAAAGTTTTAGAATTCATGACTTGGGGAGAGGGTGATTGGAAAGCAGGCATAAAATCACATGAATCTGCATGCCACTGGCAGTCATGAAGGGCCCTGGCCCGGCCTGTGTACCTCAGGCTGAAATGGGCCTGACCAATGTCTGGAGTTGCCCATTTGGTCCAGTATGATCATGCTTCTAAGATCACCCACTAGGACTTACTGAGATATATTAGGTATTATAGGAGATTTGGAAAATCCTGCTGTTTGATTTTAAGATGACACATACATTTTAAAGCACGTTTACACATTGTATTGGTTGTCAGATTAAAAAAAGCCACAGCTTCTCAAGTTAAAACGGGACAGATGACAAATGAATGACAAATAACTGACTGCAAAAGACCTGAAGAAGATAGTGGTATTCATGAAAATGTCATTTTAAAACTGTGGTGGAACACTTAATTTTTTAATTTTTATTTTTTTTTTAATTTTCAAATTTATTTTCATAAGAGTTTTTCACAATAATTGATTAAAGTAAAGTAAAGGCCCTCCCGTTGTTCATCGATTTGCTCAAGCGGGCCCAGTAACGTCTCCATCATGAGACTTGTTGTTACTGTGTTTGGCATATTGAATACATCATGGGTACCTTGCCAGGCTCTGCCGTGCGGGTGGGATACTGTCGGTAGCTTGCCGGGCTCTCCGAGAGGGGCGGAGGAATTGAACTCAGGCCGGCCATGTTGGCTGCGTGCAAGGCAAACGCCCTACCGCTGTGCTATCGCTCGGGATACCAATCCCACCACCATTACTCCTTTCCACTACCATTATTTTGAATCTTCCCACCACCACTCAAGCCTACCCCACAGGCAGATGCTAAATAATTTATTTTGTATTGCTTGTTATGAATCATATGAAATGTCTCCTGGATTTCTAAAATTTTAAATAATCGGAGTCTGGAGGCCTCTCTGCAGGTGCTGCTCTCTTCTGAGATTCATTTGTGAATCTCTGGATCATGGCTGTTAATGCGCTTAAATGGTGCCCAGAGGCAGTTAATGGGCGTGACTGCCAGGAAACTGGAAGGGTGGGGAGATGGGAGGAGGTGGCCCATTCCCAACTCTGTGAAGCCTGAAGTTTTCAGTTAAAGGTCCTTCATACCTGGGTTTTTCAGCATGGGGGGTTCGGGCGAGCCTGTGAAGATCAGCTATGAGCTTGGCAATGATTGGGTTCTGCAGGTTTGCAGCTGCCAGGGTTCATTTGGAACAGACGGAGGGATGTGCTTGCTCCTCTCTGAGGCACCTGAGTGTTATCAGTCCAGCACGGGATTGGGAGACTTCTCCAGCATGCTGCTCTCTTCAGAGATTTATTTGTGACTCTCGTGGTGGAATACTTTAGATCTCCTGTTAAAACCTGGGGGAATTTAACTTCATTTTCTCAGGTACCTATAAGCTCAATAAGCTAATAGGATTAGGGAAAGTCTAAATTCACTGTGGGGTGTGCACATGTGCAGATGGGTAAGGCAGAGACGCTAACAGCTTCTATCAGTGAAGTCTAGTGTCATTTAACAACACAAATGAACAAGCAGAGAGAATATGGTGCTACTTGAAATAATAACACCAGGATATTGGTATTCCTATGGTGGGCATGGCACAGTCAAGCTACATGCCTAAAACATCAACATAAGCATGCTGTTGTAAAGTATGGTATCACAGTAAGTCAATAAGACAACAACAACAGCAACAATAAAAGAGGTAAAAGAACCCACCTTTTTCAGAAGCTTAAAGTCCTCTCTCAAACTCTATATGCTGTAAAAACTTTACTGATGGAAAAAAAAACAGAAGGGAATTTAGCTAGGACGGTAAAAAGAACTGAGTTTGGGAGAATGGGAGGGCTCCTTGGGACAGTAGTGGAGGGAAGTATTGATAACATTAATGTGGGGTGTCCTTGGTACTCTGATGGTGGGGGTGGTGTGAGGATGATGTGTGTATGAAACTATCATTAGCAGTATTGTAAATCTTGGTACCTCAATTTTAAAGAAGGAGTGAAGTTAATTCTTAGTGAGCAGAAATATTCTCCTTTTTTGTGGGAAAAGGGGGTGGGGGAAAGGAGTTTGGCCAAATCTGGTGGTTGCTCAGTGATTATTCCTAGGTCTCTGCTCAGGGAACCACATGTGATGCTAGGGATTCAAACCAGGGCTGGGGCAAGGCAAAGGCCTTAAGCCTGCACTATTTCTCTGGTACCCAATTTTCTTCCTTTCTTTACTCTGTCTCTTGCAGGTTAACACCCTACTGACCTCTCAAAAAATTTGAGTATAAAACTTCTCTCTTAGGACCAGAGTGATATTATATTGGGTAGAGTGCCTGTCTGGCATGTTGCTGACCTTATATTCCTTGCATCCCAAAAGGTGCCCTAAGGCCTACCAGAAGTGTTCCCTGAGCAGAATCCTACAGGTTTAAGCACTAAGCACCACTGGGTGTTGTCCCCAAAACAAAAACAAAAACAAAAAACCCCTTCTCTTTTAGTTCTTCCCTTTCCTGTTCCATAACATGCTGGGGGGTAAATAGGGTATCAATAATAAAACCTTGATTACAAAATAATTCAGTAGTTTGGCATGCCTAAGCAGAGGAACCAAGTCACTAGTCTGGGTTTCAAATCTCTTCACTGATATCTGATGAGCCTGGAGAGGTTCAAGCAGGAGAAGGGGGACTTGGAAAGACTCAAACACGAGAGCAGGAGGGAAAAGGGCTCCATTTACAAATAATCACTTTCTCCCCAGACACACAGATAAGAATATCATGTAACAATTTTATTCACAAATTAAAAAAATGATATTACAAAAGTATATGTATAAGAAAGCACAATTTTACAAATTTATAAATTCCAGTATGCAAAGCAGTACGATGAAATATAAATGGACTCAGGCTGACTATTTAAAGCGATGATTGATTTTTTTTCTTTTTCTTTTTTTTTTACTAGCACAGAGAATCGTGCTTAGTCCAAATGACAATAATACTAGTGCTTTAAAGTAGAAAAATCTGTATTTGTAAAAATATACTCCATACACACAAAAGTTAGAACATCTATGCTTTACATGGTCACTCTCCAAACCCTTGTCTCTTGTTTCTGCAGCACTGAAAGTTACAATGAATTGCTAGTTCCAGTCACATTTTTACCTGAAGGTGATTCTGTGGCATAAGCATCTCTGAGCTGAGTGAATCTGAGTGTGGGTACAGTATTTTAACCATAAGAAATACAAATTGGATATATTTTTCTCGATTGTTTACAGAGAGTGTAGAATAGATAGAACACTGTAGTAGGTAACAGGTGATTGTAAAATGGTGATGGTCTTCATCTAGATCAAAATAACACAGAAAGTTTCAAATACAGTACCAAATGAGACCAAATTTTAGCCCTACATCTTTCTCTACTGCTAAAAAATGATATCTCAGGACTTTTGGCCAAAGTTTAACTGCCCATTAATCTAGGCTCTCTCCAGCAAGTGTTTGTCTTTGATGTTAATGAGAGTTCTACATATGGAAAACATATTCATGTTACAAAAATGAGCATAACCCTCACCCCTGTCAAAATAAAAGTAATCAGACTGCAAACAATGACAATTACAGTAAAGCCACTCCAGGAAGCTCTTCTTGCAATTTCATAGACATCTGTGGTCAAATCCTAAATATTTCACAAGTGTTTCTCAAAGAGAATTCTCACAAGAGTTGGTAAGCAGCAAAGCTTAAGAACCATTAATTTATGCTAATATGGGGAAAAGAAATAAAAGTGTAATCAATTTTGACTTTGTAGATATGAAAGATTGTAGATAACTATGAGGCACTAATTTCCCTCATTGATGAAAGGAATTGAGGTGATGAGATGTATCAGGCAAGCTAATCTATACTTTTCAGACTCTAAAAATATGGATATAAGTAATCTCAGTCACAAGGAAGTAGACTTGTTAGATGTTACTGATATCTTCTTGCAATGAAAGAAAACCAAGAAGAAACCAGTGAGAAGAGAGAGTTGTAGGGATGGCATTTTAAATATTAAGTATTATTAAAAGATACTGATTTGAACTGGGCAATTCTAAAATTTGATATTTTAATATTTTAGAGTACTTTGACAGTGAGGTTCAGAGATAATTTTTAAGTTACAAATGGGACAGAATTAATAGTAATTAGATAAAAGTCAAAGACCACATCTGTTCCTAGGATCAAGTAGGAACAATATGAGTCTTGCTTAATTAATTTCCCTCCAGAACATAAAATTTTGGAGCACTGAAGTCAACCCTTGTTCCATGACTGAACTGGGTTCATTTCTGTCTTAGCTCTACAGATAATTCTTGTGTGTAAACACCAATGTGGTAAGATATTGTGGGAACACCTAATGATACTACATCCGAGCAGGTGCAGATGGTCCACTGAAATGCCACCTACAAACTGTGCTTTCCCTTTGGGTCCTAATATCTACTGTAGTTTTACAAGATCACTTATCTGGTGTTATATTACAATAGAAGGGAGAACCTGATTACATTATTCCCAAAGCCCCCACTATCATACACAATGCAAATGAAAAACCATTTTTATCAACTCCATTCTTCTGTAAGAAACATACCAGATCTTTTAAGTTCAGTCAAATGGATTAAAGACAGACATTCGCCTATCAGCTGATTATTCCATAAATATGCTAATCCTTTCTGCCAGCCTCTGGGATAAGCACAGGAACGGTTGGGCAAGCTCCTTCCCAGTCACGGTCTCTGAGGCCCTCCCAGGGGCTTGTAAGGCAAGGGCTAAGTCTGGAAGTCCTGAAGCCATTCTCCTCTGATTCTCAGTTAACTTCATCAAATACACCAAAGGCTTACACAGACAGTCTGAAGTCAGTCCTAACCTTTGAAGTTCATTAGTTTAATAATGATAAAGTGACCTTCATCAAACAGAAACACTCATTTAAAAAAGACCATTCTCCATATAAACTAAGGTAACTAATCTGGCTTTGACTTATAGCAGGAGAATCAACTCTAGGAAATTATTCCTGGGAAGAAGTTGTGAACACAAATGTATATTTGGACTCTTCGGCCCCACAGAGCCACATTCACCATGAAAATGCACATGGGCACACTTCTGGTTCCTGTTAGGTGCCAGTCAGCTCTCAGGCAGCCCACGCAATGTCAGCCTTTGAAGTCAGGCTTACAGCACAGAAGCTTCCTGTACAGGAAGATGAAAAGTTGCACGAGTGCCCGGTCTCCCTGGTTTTTCCTTGAGGTTTCAGCTTACAGCTGGTCTGGCTCAGAAGCAACTGGGTGAAAGGCTTAAAATGCCATCAGTTTGTTTCAGACTGATTTCTTCCCCCAGAAGCCATCAGGGGCCAGGCTGTACTCAGTCTATAAGCCCACACGGAGGAGTCAGAACCCATCATGGCTCTGTTGGAAGTGTATACACTTTGACTGCAGGAAGAAGCCAAGTCCTTTAAGCTTCCTGGAACAATAGGAGAAAAGCTTTAGTATTAAAGTTTGATTGTGACGGTAAACAATTGTTCAAAAATTTTACTTGTAATGCGCATACACATAATCCTATGCTGGTTTTCACACACCCCAGTAGCCATGTATTGTGAGAATAACAGGTTTCCTAACAACTCACAGGTACACAATATTTACAATCTGTCCTTAAAATGATAATGTTTCCCAGAGCAAACAAATCAAAACTATTCTTTTACAGATTTTCAACCTCTACTAGGCCACTTAGCTCATGTTTCTAATGCTGTGCACCTTTAAAGCATTTGTGAGTAAAGAGTTTAGGATTCTTTAAGTCTCTTTTTTATTTATTTTAGTTTTAGGGCCACACCTGGCAATGCTCAGGGCTTCTCCTGGCTCTGCACTCAGGAGTTATTCTTGGTGGTGCTATGGGAACCCTATGGGGCTCCCAGGATCAAAACCACATCAGCTATGTGCAAGACAAATGCCCTACCTGCTGGACTGTCATTCCGGCCCCTTTAATACTCATCTTTAAAGAACAAGGATGACAAACCAATGGCTCCATTACTAGCCTTTGAATTTAAAACTTCTGCTAAGCTATTGGATAAAGTTCAGAAATAGTTTTGGAATGAATTCTCTTATAATGATTTTCCTGTAACATTCATGCTCTTCCTGTGGCGATGGTTCTTAGTAGAGTTATCATTATTTATAAATAAAAGCCATTATAAATATGTTAGACTTGTCCTACTGCATGAAAGAAGTAACCTCACTTCAGGAGTCAGTAACCATCTGTAGGATAACACTGATTTGTCCTTTCTGCCTTGCCACAGGGAGTTTAGGTTTATTGGGCTATTCCCATCACAGTGCTCCCATTCCTCTGTGTTTACCTATAATCTCTTTCGTTGTGCTCTGCTTCCCCAACTGGTCAATTACCTTTATCTCCTAATCAGACTCTGTTAACTTGTAAATATTGCTTTTCTCTTCTACTTATGGTCTTTGAATAGTTAATTCAGAGCAACTTCCTTTTTGTATGGACACAGGAAGACAGTTGATGCTATGCTTTTTTTTTTCCTTTTTGGTTCACACCTGGCGATGCAAAGGGGTTACTCCTGGCTCTGCACTCAGGAATTACCCATGGCAGTGGTCAGGGGACCTTATGGGATGCTGGAAATTGAACCCAGGTTGGCCACATGCAAGGCAAATGCCCTACCCGCTGTGCTATTGCTCCAGACCTGATGCTATGCTTTTGTAACTTGGGAGTTAATTGACTCTGAATGATATTCACCCCTGGGCATCTGTTCTCTCAACTTAAGCCCCAGTTGTCCTTATTCCCTAGATCCCCCAAAGCAGGGTCCCAACAAGGGACTGGATGGACCCAGGGCAAGCTATGAGCTACCCTGGCATCAAAATGGGCCAGGCCAAAGTGCCATAATACTTAACTATAAGTTAAGAGAATGGTCATGGACAAATTCTGATCCAAAAAAGTAATAACTGTAATAGGGTCCTGCTAGGGTTAGGAAAGATAAATCTGGTCTGAGCACTGTAGTCTGAGTCTGTGGCGAGATGTCCCCAAGAAAGCCACCCTATAAACTCAATGTATCTCTTACTATGTCCATGCAAAATAACTAATATTAAGAAGTAGAATTAAGATGTTAATTAAGATGATAATTAAATTATTGGACTAAGGAGAGGAGAAATACCCCTAAGTGGTATTTTGCTCTTGAGCACAAGAAGAGTATCAAATATTGATTGGACCTGGGTGCTGTGGCTACCCCACTGGGGGGAGATGGGAGAGACCAGAGAGAGATCAGGCTTCAAGATGGAGCACGGAGAGATGAGCAGGATAGACAGGAGAAGACAGGAATGAGGGGCAGCATGAGACTAGAATGGGGAGCTTAGTGGGACTGGAACAGACGCATGGGGAGAATGAAATAAAGGGCAACTGATCACCAACCAGCCTGGCCCTCATTTCCTCCTTTGTCTGCCCAGGGCATTGGCTGTCCCAGGTAGGGAAGTGGCCTGAGACCACTGAACACAGGTGGCAAGAGAGAACTTCAGGTACCCTAGTCGTTCAGTGATTATACAATCATCCTTCTTCATGAACTTATTACTCATTTGGTGTCAATGATATTTTAGAAAAAGCTATAAGAAAAATTTTATTAGCTCTAAGGAAATGATTTATAACAGTTTTTAGGTAATGTCAACAAAAGGTAATACATAATACTTTTATTATGTATTAATTTATTTTTTAACTTTTTAATTGAATCATTGTGAGATAAAGCTATTCATAATTGGATTTCAGTCATATAGTAAGAGGAGATTCTTTTATTAAGAATGTTCATCACGGGGGCAGGAGCAATAGCACAGCAGGTAGGGCGTTTGCCTTGCACGCAGCCGACCTAGGTTCGATCCCCAGCATCCTATATGGTCCCCCAAGTACCGCCAGGAGTAATTCCTGAGTGCATGAACCAGGAGTAACTCGCTGGGTGTGGCCCAAAAAGAAAAAAAAGAAACAAAGAATGTTCATCACGGGGCTGGAGTGATAACACAGCTCGTAGGGCGTTTGCCTTGCATGTGGTTGACCCAGGTTCGATTCCCAGCATCCTATATGGTCCCGTGAGCACCGCCAGGGGTAATTCCAGAGTGCAGAGCCAGGAGGAACCCCTGTGCATTGCTGGGCGTAACCCAAAAAGCAAAAAAAAATGTTCATCACTTGATTTGATAATAACCATAGTATCAATGATCCCAATAAAGGCATTATATTCATTTAGAGTCAATAAGGGGAAAATATTTTGTAGATGAAGGAATAGAACCAAATATTCTCATAACTATCCTACCATTCTTTTCATTATTTTATGTTGACATTTGAATGCTTGTTAAAACGGTGGAGTGAAGTGGCCACTTTGGTGGAGGGTGTGGTATTGAAATGTTGTATGCATGAGACCCATGCATCAACAGTATTGTAAAACATAGCACTTTAAATATAAATAAATGAAATGAAGTAAAATAAGACATTTGCTAAAAATACCAACCAACCAACAGGGCCAGAGATGTAGTGCAGGAGTAAGACAGTTGTCCTATACGTGATTGAACTTGTTTGGACCCCCAGAATTGACAATACTCTGAAACATACTGTGTCACCTAAGTATAACTGAAATATACTCTTGTCAGCCACCTGCAGGTTCATTCAAGTTTCTCAGACTCTCCCCAAACAACAGGTATATGGGGAGAGAATACCAGGCTGTCTATGTTCAAAATCAATGGTCTTGATATGACAGAAACCTCACCTCATCATGAGAAAGTGCCAGAGACTTAATTTGAAGTGTCCTAGGACTTTGAGAGGGTGACTTCCTAAGAAGGTGCAGTCATGGGAGCTGAGGTCACTGCTGAAGGGAGGGTTTCCTCTCTACCTGGCACCATGCATTCTTTCACAGGGATGTGGGGTCCCTAACTTGCTCTCCATCTTAAGCTCGGTAGAGATAATCCCTCTTTGAGACCTACAAGCAAGTAGGCGGACTCTTCATTCTTTTCTCATTATGATGATGAAAGTTTAAGAAGTTATGGGGTGACTCCAAAGAATTCAATGAATAGGCTTGATCAGCACAAGAGAGGTGTCTCCTGCTCTTTAAAAAAACCCTTTTTTCTGAGGTGGGGGGATGGGGCTCCCAAGCAGTGCTCAGGACCCAGGGTTCTACTCCTGGCCAGACTAAGCCAACAGGGTCAGGAATTCAATGTGAAACCCAAGGGTGTGGGGCTGCTTGAGTCCCCAACACTGAACTGATTGTGGTCTCTGCATCTTGGTTTTCAAACTATGCAATTTCTCTATTTTTCCTCCTTTCACATTGCTCCTTCATTTTCTTTATTTGGAGAAAACCAGCAATTCTTTCCCTCCAAAACCAATGAATTTTCTTGTGTGGTATTCTCTCTAAGTTCTATACTTCTCCCAGTGTCACGGAGATACAATCCACACACACTTCTCATTGTATGCATGTAATAATTTGATTTACTATGTAGTGGTAAATCATGACCCCTTAGGGCTGCATCATTTGTCTTAGTGCAGGATCTTTGTAGTTGAAAAAATACACATAGATTCCTCTCTACCTCAGTCTATCTTCAATTCTTAAAGGAAACACAGTCTGGCTGTAGGCCAAGCCTCCAATCTAACTGGACAAGAGCACAGTCTTGTAGGGAAATGGAGGTAGCCCTGTGGAGTCCATGTAGCTGGTTCTGAAAGCACCTTCACACCAGAATTCCTGGGGCTGGGAGGGAGGTGGGATGAGATGCTCTTGTTGTCTGCACAAGGGAGATTTTAGGGGACCCAGGGGCCTCTTGGTGCTGAGACTCTGCCCTCTGTAAGCAAGGCTGGCCTCATTCTTCCAGAAGAAAAAACCAATAGCAAGGGTCAGATGCCTTCCCTGACCACATACTTGCCTGGAGGGAAAGCAGAGAATGAACCCAGAACAAGAGACAGAACTCCCCTTGGATGCCAGAGAGATAGTATAGGGGGGTAGGGTGCTTGCTTTGTATACTGCTGACCCAGATTTGATGCCTGGAGCCCCACAAGGTTCCTGAGCACCACCAGGAGTAATTCCTGATCCCAGGGCCAGGAGTAAGCCCTGAGCATTGCTGGGTGTGCCCCTCCCACCCAAATAAGCAACTCTTCTTGTTCTCCTACTGTGCATTAGGCCATGGAAGCTCAGCTCCCTGACACTAGCTATGTGCTCCCAAGTCTGATTTTTTAACCCTATTATCTGGAAAGTTCTTACTCTGCTTTTAATCTCAGATTACAACAGACCATTTTCCAACCAAAGGGTCAAAGCAGAGTGATCTAGAAAACCACAGGGAAAGAGGGAGGAGGGGGAGAAGCAATTCTAGAAGATCTAAAGCCAATCAATCTAGTCGGCGGGTGACACGCATTTATGTATTGTGCACTAGAGTATCACAGGGCAATGTGAATGTGGGAATTGTATACAAGATGTTCCCATAACTGTGTCATCTCTCTCATTCACGGATGGAGCAAGGGGAACTGGGTTCAGTTGTTGGATTTATATGAAATAATAAAAGAACATAGAAGCACTTAGGGCTTTATAGATTATCCATTACAATTCCTGAAATTTATTATAAAATATATTCTCTATAACATACAAGAAATTTATGAATGAGAAAAGCTTCTCATCAGACTTTCCCACATTTAGGGTGGGAACTTGGAGGTGGAGAGATAGTCCAGTGGGCAGGGCACTTACTTCGCATATGGCGGACCCTGGTTCAAACCTCGGTACCTACATAGTCCCTCCAAGCACCACCAGAAATAATCACTGAACACAGAGCCAAGAGTAAGCCCTGAGCCCTTGTGGGTGTGCCCCCGACAAATCAAATGGAAAAAGAGGGAACTAAGTTCCACTTCAGGTGATCTACCAAAAGCTGCTAGGATCTCCACACTGAAATCATCAAGGCCTTACCTGGACAGACATTTGGGAGCTTAGGTTAATGCTACCCCCTCTCTCTGGCTCCAGTTGGCTTCTAGTAATTAGGGTATCCCAGGATTGCATGGGTTCTGTCTGTGAGCTGTTATGTCTTGATACACGAGCAGTTTCTGTAAGAGTTCCAGAATGAGCTTGCATTGAAACAGCACCAGCAGCCAAATCCTGATGATTGCTGAGTAAATCCATGGATGCTGCACTTTCATTCTCTGGATTGAAAGAATTAATATCTTCTCCGGTGAGTTCAGGATAAGAGTCACAGCAGGAGATGGCATCACCACAAATGGGATTTTGCATTAGAGGCCAAGCATCTGAAAATTCACCACAGATGGACCGCGAAAGGGAACCGAAGAAGGTGGGCATCATATCCCCCAGGGGACCAGCACTCCTGCACGTTAGCACAAAACCTCCGTAAGCATTTCAGGGCAGGGAGAACAAAGCATCTAACAGCTACACTTTCACGTTGTCTAGAGAAAATACACATTTATTAAGAATTCTAGGGCTATGCTTTGTTACAAATTTGCTTCAATGCAGTGAGTCAAATTACTACATTTACTTTAGAACTGAATTTTTAGGCCACTTCTGATAAGTAATAGTTAAATACATGCTGTTTTTATAGATCTGCGCTGAGTTCTGCTGATGTTATTTGAAAATTATATGCGTACATGACATGTTCAAAGTTACAGTAGACTGAACTGCCATAAACCATGAATGTAAGACAAAAATGAAATTCAAGGTGTATAAAGCACAAAAGACTATGGCAACAGATAACAGTGATCCAGAGAGTGTAATCCACTTCTTGCTGAAGGATGGCCCTTCCAATGTCCAGGTTGTCATTAAATACAGTTTTCCAGGAACACTGGAAAAGTAGTAGAACACAGATTTATACAAGGAACACTGAAACTATAGTGATGAGACAGATCCATTACCTGTCCTGAAGAGCAGTCTTGGAATGTGCTCTGCAGCCCAGAGTCAGCTGCTTGATGCTGCATGCCTCTTCACAGCACAAGGGTGGGATCAGATGAACTGGCCCTAGGACAGGCAGGGGGTAAAATGTGGTGCTATTTTTTTTTGTTCTGGAAACTTTTTTCTTAATATCAGTTCGCTATTGATCAGATTATTAGCCATTTTCCCTTCGATGATTTGTTTTATGAAGTTAAAAAAATTTAACTGACCACTTTCATTGAGGAACCTGGATTTATAATATCAATTAAGCATATGTAATTCCAATACCTATTTTTAGTTTTATTGGAATGATATATAATTTTATATAATATTAAAAATGATATATTAAAATATATATTATAATATATAATATTAAAATTATGATGATAATTTTTTTGGTGATTGCTACATGTTTATTTATTTATTTATTTATTTATTAGTGAAACACCATGAGGTACAGTTATAGACTTACAAAATTTTGTGCTTGGGTTTCAGTTATACAACGATCAAGTACCCATCCCTCCACCAGCACCCATCCTCCACCACCACGGGTCCCATCATCCCTCCCACCCCCCATCCCCCCCATCCCCCCCTGCCTCTGTGGCAGGGCATTCCCCATTGTTCTCTCTCTCTCCTTTTGGGTCCTCTGGTTTGCAAGAGAGGCATTGAGTGGCAATCATGTTTGGTTTATAGTCTACTTTCAGCATGCTTCTCCCACCCTGGGAGGATCCTCACAACACCCTTTATTTGGTGTTCTCTTCTCTGTCTGAGCTTCCTTTTCCCCTAGCACGTGTGGCTGGCCTCCAAGTCATGGAGCAAAATTCCTGGTACTAATCTCGCCCACTCCTGGGTGTTAGTCTCCCATTTTGTTGCTTTATGTTCCCCACATGAATGCAAACTTCCAGTGTCTATCCCGCTCTTTCTGACTCCTTTCGCTTAACATGATACTTTCCATGTAGTACCACTTGTATGTGAATTTCACGCCTTCATCTTTTCTAACAGCTACATAGTACTCCATTGTGTAAATGTATCAAAATTTCTTTAACCAGTCATCTGATCTCGGGCACTCAGGTTTTTTCCAGATTCTGGCTATTGTAAAGAGTGCTGCAATGAACAAACAAGTGCAGATATCACTTCGACTATACATTTTTGCCTCTCTGGGATATATTCCCAGGAGTGGTATTGCTGGGTCAAATGGGAGATCAAATTCTAATTTTTTGAGAATCGTCCATACTGTTTTCCAAAAAGGTTGGACCAGTCGGCATTCCCACCAGCAGTAAAGGAGGGTCCCTTTCTTGCCACATCCGCGCCAGCACTGGTTGCTTTTGTTCTTTTGGATATGGGCCATTTTTATATAATATTAAAAAATAATATTATAATATTAAAATATATATTATAACATATAATATTAAAATTATAATGATAATTTTTAATAGCAGTTCTTTTTAAATTTATTTATTGATTATTTAATTGAATCAGCATGAGATACAGTTACAAAGCTTTCATGATTGAGTTTCAGTCATACAATGATTGAGTAACCCATCTTTCCACGAGTAAAACTTTCCCACCTCCAATGTCCACAGTATCCCTCTAGCCACCCCAACCCCACCCCAACCAACCCCTGCATCTATGGCAGGCACTTTCCTTCTTATTCTTTCTCTACTTTGGGGCATTATAGTTTACAATACAGATACTGAGAGGCCATCAGGTTTGTCCTTTGTCTACTTTCAGCACACATGTCCCACCATGAGTGACCCTCCAACTATCATTGACCTAGTGGTCCCTTCTCTATCTCAACTGCCTTCTGCCCCAGCACTTGAGGCAGGCTTCCAACCATGGACCAATTTTCCTGCCTCTTGTCTCTACTGTCTTTGAGTGATAGTCTCATACTCTGTTATTTTATATTCTACAAATGAGTACAGTCATTCTATGTCTATCCCTCTGTTTCTGACAGCATGTTACTCTCCATGTGCATCCACTTATAAGAAAATTTCATGACTTCATCTTTTCTAACAGCTGCATAATATTACATTGTATAGATGTATACCAAAGTTTCTTTAACCAGTCATCTATTCTTGGGCACTCGGGTTGTTTCCAAATTCTGGCTATTGTGAACAGTGCTGTCATAAACATAAAGTGCAGATGTCATTTCTACTGTGCTTTTTTGCATCCCTGGGTTATATTCCCAGAAGTGGTATTGCTGGGTTATATGGAAGCTCAATTTTTAGGTTTTTAAGGAATGCCAATATTGTCTTCCAGAAAGGCTGGGCCGGTCGGCATTCCCACCAACAGTGAATGACAGTCCCTTTCTCCCAACATCTGTGCCAGAGCTGGTTGTTCTTGTTCTTTAGGATGTGTGCCAGTCTCTGTGGTGTAAGATGATATCTTATTGTTGTTGTTATTTGCATCTCCCTGATGATTAACGATGTAGAGCATATTTTCATGTGCCTTTTCACCATTTGAATTTTTTTGGAGTAAGTTTCTGTTCATTTTCTCTCAACATTTTTTGATGGGGTTGGAGGTTTTTATCTTGTAAAGTTCTACCAGTGTCTTATATATCCTGGATATTAACGCCTTATCTAATGGGATCCTCCATATTCCAGTAGGCATGGGTCACACCCACCAACTGGCCCCCTGGCGCTGTTTAATCCCATCAATGGCCAAGACCCAGAGACTATAAAACCCAGCTCCCGGAAGCAACATCTTATTATCTCATTCTTACTTTGGACAGATGCCCTAACTGCCGTGCTATCGCTCCAGCAGGGCTGGAGCGATAGCATAGCAGTAGGGCGTTTGCCTTGCACGCAGCCAACATGGCCGACCGCAGTTCGATTCCTCTGCCCCTCTCGGAGAGCCCGGCAAGCTACCGAGAGTATCTCGTCCGCACGGCAGAGCCTGGCAAGCTCCCCGTGACGTATTAGATATGCCAAACACAGTAACAACAAAGTCTCCGATGGAGATGTTACTGGGTCTGCTCGAACAAATCGATGATCAACGGGAGGGCCTTTACTTTACTTTACTTTACTTTACTTTGGACAACCTGGCAGGCTACTAAATGTAACCTGCCCACACGGCAGAGTCTGGCAAACGCCCCGTGGCGTACCCAATAGGCCAAATACTAGTAACAATGATGGGTCTCATTTTCCTACCCTGAAAGAGCCTTGAATATGGCACTTTTTAAAAAAAATCTCAGGGCTAGGACGAAGGAGACATTACTGGGGCCTGCTCGAGGCAATCAACGAACAACAGGATGGTCGTGATCGTGATTGTGACAGTGGAGAAACCTGATGGAGTTTTCTGAAACAGACTGTTTCCGAAACCTGACAGTCTCCATCTTAACCAGGTTTCCAAGTTAACTGACCAGGAGTTGGAAGATGTTCATGCTGTGTCTCCTGAGCAGTGGTCCAGAGAAGGGCAGTGGAACTGAGTCTAGCCCTAAGGAAACATCAGCCTGCACAAATGAGGCTCATTCAACAGTACTGAGTTCCTCTGCTTAAACACACAAAAAGTATAAAACACACAAAAGTAAAAAACTATAAAACACACAGCAAGACTGGGTGGGGAACAAGATTGAGAGAATAGATCTGAGTACAAAATGCAACAGTGTTAAACAGTGTTATTTGTTTTATTGTTGCTGTTATTGTCTTCTGTTAAATGGGCAATATCAGAACAATTAGGAAAAATCTGAATATGCTTTGTAGGTGATATAATAGCACTGATTTGATATCAATCTCCCAACTTTAAGGACAGTACTATTAAGAGGATATTCTTATTCCTGGGAGACAAACACCATGCAATTATGGCAAAAATAATTTTCTTTTTTTGGGGTTTTTGGGTCACAATCTGCAATTACTTCTGACGGTGCTCAAGTGACCACATGGGATGCTGGGGATCAAATTTGGGTCAGTTCTGTGCAAGGCAAGAGCCCCAACCATTGTACTATCGCTCCAGCCCTCTGCAAATGATTTCTAAATGGCAAGCAGAAGAAATGCTCATGCCTACATGTACACATGCATTATGTTTTTACTGTGTGGATACATGCACAGAGAGACAGTACAGGGGGTATGACTGAACACAGCTGGGTGTGGTCCACAAAAACCACGACCACAGCAGCAGCAACAGCAGCAAACACACACACACATATAGATAGACATTCACACATATAGATAGATAGCACTGTAGCACTGTCCTCCCGTTTTTCATCAATTTGCTCGAGTGGGCACCAGTAACATCTCCATTGTGAGTCTTGTTGTTACTGTTTTTTGGCATATCGAATACGCCACGTGGAGCTTGCCAGGCTCTGCCGTGTGGACGGGATACTCTCGGTAGCTTGCCGGGCTCTCCGAGAGGGGATAGATAGATATAATTAGATAAAAATGAAAAAGCAAACATGCAAGTGAAAAATATGCTGGCATTTTGGGAATTTCTTTGTCTTAGTCTTTCCAAAACTTTTATGTTTGAAATTTATTTGAAATATAAAATAAAAAGTTCCAAAGAAAAACAGCACTAATATGAAGGATGCAGCAGTTTAAATAATAAGCTCAAATGAGCATGGGGTAAAGTATAAAGAGATTAAGCTTGGTGTTCTATTAAGAGGTGGGAGGAAAACTGGGGTCACTGGAGGTGGGAAATGTGCACTGGTGAAGGGAGAGGTAATAGAACATTGTATCACTGACACCCAATCATGAACAAATTTGTAACTGTGTATCTCATGGGGATTAAATTAAAAAAAAAAGGCTGTGCTAAAGCCCTCTATGGATTAAATCTTTTCAGACAGAAGTTACAACAAAGCAGAGTTTGCAAAAAGTTGGATTTTGCTACATTTACATTTGTGAGCATGTCAACTCAATAGTGGCAGTGTAGTCATAGAGCTTTTTGGGAAAGAACACGCGGGGCATTTTGTTGATGATGAAATTACAGTTAGGGATGTTCTAAGAGTCTATTACCTATATAGGTAGAGGTACATATAGATGCACATGGAACCCAAAGTCCTATATTTTACTTTGAACTATTCTTAAAATAAAAGATAGCAATCGTCTATAAAATAATGCTTTATATGCTTTTCGTTCTGTTTTGTTTTGAGGCCGCACCCAGTGGTGCTCAGAGCTTACTTTCGGCTCTGCACTCAGAGATCACTCCTGGTGGTGTTTGGGGGACTACAGATGGAGCAGGGGATTGAAGCCATTTCAGCCGCAGGCAGGTAAATTCCCTACCTGCTGGACTACTGCTCTAGTCCCACTTCTTATGCTTTTAATGCTTCCAATACTTCTTATTCCACATTGAAATAGTAATAGAAAAATGGAATCTTGTAATTTCTGGGTGAGAAAGATTGGATAGTCTCAAGAGAATAAGTCAACTCAACTGGGATGTACTAAACTTCAAGACTGGTCATAAGAACAAAAGGAACTACTGCATTGTTTCAGAGGTACTAAGACAACTTGGTGCCATAGGAGTGATAGGAGTGAGAACGGTTGGGCAGGAGACTTGGAGGAAGAATAGCTGGGCTGAATTTTTCAGAGGAAGTGAAGCTGTTACAGTGACATAAGAGTGGGAAGTAGAAGCTTAGACATTTTTTGTTGGTAATATAAATAAGCAGCCAAAAATTATCTTTGCATGAGTTTGGTCAAAGCAGGAATCAATGTCTGCTACAACTTTCCTAAACTTTTAATTATGTCAATAATTCAAAATAGAGTTAGGTCTTCTGGAAAAAACTCTTTTCTGTAAGAAATACAGGCATCAAGATGGACACATTAAAGTTGAGTCTGAATCTAGCTGACAAGAAAGACACAAATGCCTCCTCTACGAAAGTTGGATACTACTTAAAAACCAGTGAACCCAAAGCTTACTTGAGCAGCTGATAAAAAATTCTTGTTATTTTAAAGCCTCTTTCACTGATACTGGAGAGACTTGAGAGAGTGTGGGAGTACCTGATCAAAATCAGATTTTAGTTGAAAACCAAGAAAGCAAGAAAGCTCTGGATGTGCAGGAACCATCATCTGAGGTTCCAGTATTTGTATTCTTCAACTTGCCTGAGTTGACTTTTCATGAGCAAGACTTACCACAGGTCCGGGCTGTGTCCCGGTGGCACTGACAACACGCTCTAGAGGGAGATCCACTAAGTTGAGGACTCTCAAAACACGACAGCTCTGAGCCATTGTACTGCATGTCCTGGGATCTCAGAGACCCTAAAGGATGGGTGAGAATTTGGTCAGTGAAGACTTGCCTCTCTAAGCAGCCTGTCTGCATCCTCATCCACCTAGACCTGTATCACTCTTTTATTTGTGCTTTAAAGAAAAGAGACTTAATCATTTCCAGTTACAAATATTCCTTTTGAGGGTCAGGGAATGAGAGTTCAAGTGGCAGAGCACATGGCTGGCAGATGTCATGTCCTGAGTTTGATCTAAAGTCCTTTAAGCACTGATGATGTGACAGCACTGGTCACTGGGGATTCTGAGCACTGGAAATAACGCTTATAAAAATATACTAACAGCCATGTAGTATTCCATTGTGTAGATGCACCATAGTTTCTTGATCCACTCATCTGTTCTTGGGCACTTGGGTTGTTTTCAGATTCTGGCTACTGTGAACAGTATGTAATGAACATAGAAGTGTAAATGGAATTTCAGTATTGTTTTTTGGGGTCACTAGGGCATATTCCGAGGAGCAGTATTGCCGGGCCATATGGAAGTTTAATTTTTAATTTTTTAAAGAATGTCCATATTGTTTTCCAGAAAGTCTGGACCAATGGCTGTTAGGAAAAATGAAGTCATAGGATTTGCTTATACATGGATGGATATGAAGAGTATCATGTTGAGTGAAATAATTCAGAGGAAGAGTATCATGTTGAGTGAAATAAAGTCAGAGGGAGTGGAACAAATGTAGAATGACTTCACTCATTTGCAGGATATAAAAATTACAACACATAGAGGGCAGGCCGAGCAAGTAGCCACAGGGAACTAGAAACTCTCCTTGGCTAAGGTGCCCACATGAGCACCACATGAGCTAATGAGGCTGCAGTTATTTAGTTATTTTCCCCTTTCCCAATTTGGACTCATATCTTAACCTCCATTACATAATTCTTATGAAGACACTCTGGCAATCCCAAACACTTTAGGCCAATACCCAATTAGTCTATTCCAATCAAAATATTCCCCAAACTCATCAAAATAACAGTGAACACAAGAATCTGAACAAGTCTAATATAAAAGAACACATTCCCTGAAGCTGCACTAGAGGTTCCACATAAGTCACAGAGGAGCACCAAAGAGGAAGTTAGTATTCTTGAAGGGGAAAAAGGAGACCACCACTGATGGAGCTCACCCAGAATCCTCCCTCACAGCGAGAGGAGGGGGACACTGATAGTGAACTGGAAGGATCCATCTCCATACTGCTCTAGCAACATGAAGAAACAGCGCAGATCCTCACCACAAGGAGTGGATAAAGAAAAGAGCCCAGAAGCCTCAACAGGGAATATCCGCACACACAATCTCTCCAATACAGAATTCAGAGATGGGATGTTGAGGATGTTCAATGAGCTCAAAAAAGGTGGAACAGACACCCAGTAAACTAAAGGAGGATATGAAAGAAACAGTGGAACAGAGAGCCAATAAAATACAGGAAGAAATGAGAGCAGAAATAAGAAAGCTACAAACAGAAGTGTCACTAATAAAGAATTCAGTAGATAAAATAAAAAACTCAGTGGGTGCCCTCAACAGTAGAATGACAACAGCCAAAGAGAGAATCAGTGAGCTTGAAGATGAGCTGCAGAAAATATACAGGCAACAACATATAATGGAAAAATACCTCAAAATAGCTCAAGGGTGAATAAGAGACCTAGGGGATAAATTCAAGAGGAATCATCAAGAATCATCAGAGTACCAGAACAGGGAGGCAACCCCAGTGAAGTAGTAACAGTTAGAGATATCTAACTGTTGCTGAGAAGTTCCCATGGCTGGAGAATGAAGGCATACAGATCCAAGAAGTCCGAAGGGTACCAACTAAAAGAGACCCCAGTAAAAAGACTCCAAGACATATCATAATTAGAGCAATAAATAACACAGATAGAGACATAATACTGCAAGCAGCAAGGTCAAAGAAGAAAATAAAATACAAAGAATTTGTATGTGTAAATACCTTAGATTTACAGCAGACTTATTAGAGGAAACCGTCCAAGCCTGAAAACAGGGTGGGATATAGTGGAAAAGCTCAATGAAATCTGACAACATAGATTTCAGGCTGAAAAATATTAGAAGGGACAGTGAAGGTCATTTTTAATAATCAAGGGATATGTAATTCAGGAAGAAATATCACTCCTAAACATATACACACTGACTGAGGGGCCAGCAAAATACTTCAAGGAGGATGTTGGTAGCAACAAAATAGTAGTTGGAGACTTCAACACCACCTTATCACCTCTTGATAGATCAACAAGAGTAAAACTCAGCAAGAAGTACTGGCTTTGAAGGAAGAAATGGAAGAGAGAGGACTAATAGATATATACAGGGCTTTTCATGCCCCCTCACTCCCAAACCAAAACACATTCTATTTCACTACTTGAACATTTTCCAAGATCGACCATATCCCGGGCCACAAAACATATCTCAATAGAATCAGGAAGATAGAAGTTGTACCAACTATGTTTTCAGACTATGATGCACTGAAGATAGAAGTTAATCACACACGGAATGGAGAATGAAGAATGAAATCAAACACCTGGAAATTAAGCTCAATGTTGAACAGCCAGTGGATTAAAGAGAAAAATCAAGGAAGAAATCAATAGGTTGCTGGAAACAAATGAGAATGAAGACATGAGTTACCAGAACTTATGGTACACAGTTAGAGCAGTGTTAAGGGGAAAATTTATCACTCTGCAAGAGTTCCTCAATAAGGAAGAAAGGGCACACATAAATAACTTGACTTCACTGCTGAAGAGCTTAGAAAATGACCAACAAAAGGAGCCCAAACTAGGTAGGAAGAAATAAATAATAAAACTTAGAGCAGAAATCAGCAAGATGGATTCCCAAATATCGATGAAACCAAGACCTGGTTCTTTGAAAGAATAAAGAAGAATGATAAACCACTAACAAGTCTCACAAAAAAAGAGAGAGAAAACCCTAATAAACAGAATCAGAAATGAAAAGGAGACATCACAACAGAAACAAAAGAAATCCAAAAGATCATCAGAGATTTAAAGTCTGTATGCCATGAAATAAGAGAACCTAGAAGAAATGAATAAGTTCCTGGACTCCTATAATCTCCCAAGGTTGAACCAAGAAGATTTAGAATACTTGAATAGAATTATCACTAACAAGGAAATTGAAACAGTAAACAAAAGTCTTCCCAAAAACAAAAGCCCAGGTCCAGATGGATTCACTAGCGGATTCTTCCAAACATTTAAGAGAAGATTGCCAGTCCTTTCCAAACTTCACAAGGAAACTGAAGAAACAAAAACACTCTTAAAAAGTTTCTATGAGACACCTATCACCCTGAAATAAACAGCAGACATAGACACCACAAAAACAAAAAAAAAGAGAAAATTACAGGTCAATATCCTTGATGAACATGGATACAGAGATCCCCAACAAAATACTAGCAAATAGACTCCAACAATTCATCAAAAAGATCATAGACCGTGACCAAGTGGGATTCATCCTGGGGATGCAAGGATAGTTTAACATTTGCAAGTAATTCAACATAATCCATCATATCAATAAAAGAAAAGCTAAAAAACCATATAATCATATCAATAGGCACAGAGAAAGCATTTCACAAGATCCAGTGCCCGATTACGATGAAAACCCTTACCAAAATGAGAACTGAAGGAACTTTCCTCAATATAGTCAAAGTCATCTACCACAAGCCCATGACAAGCACTATTTGCAATGGGGAACAACCAAAAGTCTTCTCTCTAAGATCAGGGACAAGACAAGGATGCCCACTTTTGCCACTTCTATTTAATATAGTACTGAAGTACTTGCCATAGCAGTTAGGCAAGAAAAAGAATATTAAAGGGCATATAGACAGAAAAAGAAGAAATCAGCTCTCATCTCTTGCAGATGACATGATGGAGGAGGAGGAGGAGGAGGAGGTGGAGGAGGAGGAAGAGGAGGAGGAGAAAGAAAAAGGAGAAGGAGGAGGAGAGGAGGAGGGGAAGAGGAGGAAGGGAGGGGCAGGGGAAAGGGAGAGGGAGAGGGAGAGGGAGGGGAGAGGGAGGGGGAGGAGGAGAAGGAGGGGGAGGAGGAGAAGGAGGGGGAGGAGGAGAAGGAGGGGGAGGAGGAGGAGGAGAAGAAGATGATAAATCTCCAAGTGTGGGATACTTGTGTTGCCAGTTCTCCAGTGATTTTCATTTTAACCAGTTGTTACAGGGATCTCTCTGCCTAAGTGGTGCTAGCCCTGAGTTCACTTCTCTGAGCGTATTTGGAACCAGTCCTTTGTGAGGCAACATTTCAGGGCAGTGTGTGATGTATTTCTAATGTCTGTTGGGGTCTTACTCGAGTCTCTTGTAACCTAAGAATGATAATAAATGCACTGCCACAAGATATTTTTTAAAAAAGAGCTCAAAACTCACAGCTGGCGGGCAAGAGTACAAACCAAGAGATTATTGAAGAGAAAGTGTAGTGAGGCAGGAGAATGCTTTGTGTGATGCTGATCTGGGTTTGATCTCCCAGCATCCCATATGATCTTCTGAGCACTACTGGGAGTGATCCCTGGGCACAGTGAGTATGTCCCCCAAACTCAAACCCAAATGAAACAGAACTCACAGCTGGGCTTCTTCTCCATGAATTGCCTCTTACAGTAGATAATGCAGAGAATGAGCAGTGCTAGGAGGACAGTGGCCAAGGCGCTGCAGATCACGGCGGCCAGAGCTGTATCCCGGGGGCTGGAGGCTGTGGATGGGATCTTCACGAGGTTGACCTTGCTGGTACCTGAAACCACAGGCAGGACACAGAGGCTTAGAGAATGTGGCAGGACCTTTAGCAATGGCCTTTATATGACTCAGTAAAGCCTTAAAAACCCAATGGCAGGTATGTGGAGACGATTCAAACACCCCCTATGTATGTTAATTTTTAATTATATTACATAGTACAAAACTATTGCACACCCCCCCCCCCACTATCGAGGTGCTCAAGATTCTCTACTACTGTCCCTACCTCACCTTAGGCCATCTCTTCATCCCTCCCCTTTCTCCTAACTGCTTGGCAATCTGAGTTTGGCTTCTCAACCAAAATCTATGGGTCAGAGCTGGAGAGATAGAACAGTGGGCAGCATGCTTGCCTTGCATGAAGACAATCCGGGTTTAATACCCAGCATCCCATATAGTTCCATGAGCACAGAGCCAGGACTAACCCCTGAGAACCACCAGATGTGGCCCCAAAACAAATGAAAACAGATAGAACAAGCCATAAATAAACAAAACTTAACCCAAATCTCTGGGTTCTCATTTCTGTTGTCCACCAAGCCATGGACACAAAATTTAACACCAGTTCTTTCACCAGTGTCCACTTCCTTCCACCAAAGTCCCCAGAGGGACCAGGACTTTTTGTCAGCAAGTGATCCTGGCACATAATAGATGTCTGACAAATATTTGATAAATTATAAAATAAATGAATGCTTGTTAAAGAAATAGGTGAATTCCAAGTCTTCTGAAAAGTGTAATGGGGCCAGGGAGGGAATTCAAAGGATTAGAATGTAGGCTTGGATGCAGGAACCTGGAGTTCAATTATTGACACTGTGTGGTTCCCAGAACTACCAGCAGCAAACCCTGAGGTTAGCACCAGAATTAGCTTCCCAAGCACTGCCAAGCATGTCCCTCAAAGAAACAAGTTTACTGAACAGGGGATTGTCTGATCAATAAAATGAGATTGTGCCAACAATGTGTTTGCCAGCTGTCTTTCTAACTGTTGTTCTGGAACTGGCAAAGCAACAGAGGTAGAAATAGTTGGCACAAAGAATGGTCTTTTTTGTATTCACTCACTTTAGGTATTGTTAATTTGGCTAAGAGTACAAACCAAGAGATTATTGAATATATGTGAATAAATGTAAAATAAAATCGTGGCCTTCTCTAGTCAATTTTAATTACCACCCCATGGATTCATCACAATGGAAACTTATTTTCGTTATTTTATGTAGTTATTAATTTACTTTGTCAACTGCAATTTTAGTTAATAATAAACATACAGCATTCATGATTTATAATTAATTGCCAAAAGAAACTAAAAAACAAAAACCCCAAGAATCTTTGGGAGGTCAATCACCTATTCCAGTGAAAACTGCTTTGCCATCAATTTCTGAAATGTATTAGTAGGGTGAATTGTATAAAAGGAATAACTAGTCATATTTTTATCAATTTATGCATTTTAGTTTTACAATTTTACCACTCCTCTCCCAGTACTGTTCAGAAGTATGAATATAATGGGATAAAGACAGAGAAGACGTCTAATAGGAAAAAACCTTCATATTTGTAGGAAGTTTTCCAAATGATCATCAACACCAACACAGCTACCATATACCAACATCTACAGTGGGCCAGTTCCTCACAGTCTTTTATAGTAAGGGCATTTCAGCATAAACTGAACTTTAAGCATTTTATTTTCAAACAACCACCAGAGGATTGAATCTAGGTTTGATGTTATATACTTTCTTGGGTAAATTGTACTCTTATTATTAAGAGCCAAAAAATACAATAAAGTTTAAAGGATTATTGGTTCACATTTTGTACACATTTTGCACAAAATTTACTGTAGCCAATCAGCTAACATATACAACATTAGATGACTTCATTTAAAACACAAATACAGCTTCATAAATTCAATATGTCTCACTTTGAGAATAAAGAGGAGGCAGTATTTTAACATGGTGGCAACAAACTTACAATGTTTTATTTTTGTTAATGTTTTGAGGGCCACTTTTGGGGCCACCAGGGCACCATGGTGCTTGGGGGGACAGAAGGTACAAGCAACCAATGTGCTCTACCACTTGAATTATGATACCCAGTCCTGAGTTTTTAAATGCTACTTCTAAGAACTATATGATTTAACTGGATGAGTAGCAAATAAATCTATATTCTATTTGGGCTACCATTCTCAAGATTCACTAGTGCCTGAGCTTTCACCAGAGAGTTTAACATATGAAAATAATACAATATGTTCCCACTCTAAGTCCTCCTATGTTGGAAAGTCTCCTCTAATTGCAAATGGGAGTGTTTTTACTTCTTTTTTTATGTTGGAATACTGCTATTTATTCAGTCACTGATTAGCTGATTGAATGGGGCATGAACTCCATCTTACTTTTTTTTTCATTTTTTATAATTTTATTTATTGAATCACTGTGAGAGCAGTTACAAAGCTTTCGGGTTTAAGTCTCGATCATACAACAAAACACCAGTACCTTCACCAGTGCCCATTCTCCACCACCAAAAATCCCAGTATACCTCCATCCCACACCCTCCCCCTACCTGTGGGGCAGATGATTTCCACATTACTCTCTCTCTACTTTGATCACATTCAATATTTTGACACCAGACCCACCATTATTATCTGGGATTTTACCCCAACACTCAGATCTGCTGAAAAGGCAACAGTAGACAATTTTTTTTCTATTGCTGGTTATGAATAACATATGATGTCACGTGGCTGCAGCAGTGGCCATGCAATTTTGAAATTCCGAAATTTTAACAATTAAATCTGGAGGGATTTCTGCCAAAACCTGCTGGGTTCCAAGATTTGTTCCTGAGTCTCTTGGATCATGGCTGTTAAGCAGCTTGATCAGGAGCCAGAAAGGCCATTCATGAGTGGCGACTCAGGGTCTTGTTGGGATGGGGAGGAAAGGGCCGGCTCCATCCCCAACCCATGAGGCCCCGCGTGTCTCATCATTGAGGGCCCAAACCTGACTGTCCAATGGCCTCTGGAGGATGGCGGCCACCGAGCCTCCTGGGGGGAGCAGGCGGAGGGACAACATCCTTTCCCCCCATGTTTTTACTCCTTAATGAGCATATTTTGATGCATAAAAATCAATGAACATTAAAAATACTTTTAGATATTTTACCATAATTTTCACTAGAATTTTTATCATTGACTTTCATATTTATTTCAAGTGGATAAATTCAAGTCATTATTCCCTATGCTCTTCCATCACCACATTTTACCATAATAACAAAAAGCATACTGCATAAATGCCTGATGAAACTAAAACCTGATTAATCTATTACATTAATAAAAATATATTAACAAGAAATTCTTTGCAGTCCTAACTGAAGCAAGGAATATGAGCTTTATCTTTTAAGTCTTAACTGCCTAAACAAAATATCTATGGTAACACTCAACATATGAGTTCCAGATGTGCCACAAAAGAGTCTGCCAATAAACAAAACAGCTGGATTGTTTCCTACTTTATACCAGGCACTCTGCTGAATAAACGTAAAAAGGTGAACTTTTATCATTTACCTCTTTTGTCTTAGTTTAGACTTTAGTTTTAAACTGGCAAAGTTTGTCTTCCAAAAACTGGTAAAAAATGTTAGTCTAAAGCAAGTCTTTTCAGTTTGTACTTCCAAATACACACTATAATATATACTACATAAAATCTAGACTGAATTTCTTGTAACAAAATTAACCGTTAGTGACAGATATATTCCCAAAGTTTTATAGCCATTACTATTAATTTCAGAACATTTTCACCACCCCTTCTCCTCATAAGAAGCTCTATACCTATTTTCTCTTTCTCCCACATCCTGGAAAGCACTAATGCTGCTTGCAGCCTTTATGAAATGCCTCATTCTAAATACTGCAAATAAATGGGGATTGGAGGAATGGTACAGTGTGTAGGGCACTTGCCTTGCATGTAGCCAACCTGGGATCAAATCCTGGCATCCCACATGGTCCTCATGCTCACCAGGGATGATCCTAGATTGCAGAGCCAGGATTAATTCCTGAGCACCACTGAGTGTGTCCTCACTCCACAAAATAAACCCAAACAAGAAAAAAAAACCTGTTCAGTCAAGTAAATGGAATTATACAATATTATGTGGTATCTTGTGTTCAGCTTTCTTCACTTTGCTAAATGTTTGGAAGGTTCATCCAGGTTGTAGAAGGTATCAGAACTCTCTCTGGATCTACCACTTTCGTTTATGCATTAATCAGATGATGGATTTGGGTTGCTTCTACCTTTTGATCATTGTAACTAATGCTGTTGTAAAAAGAACCTTCATGTACAAGTTTTCCACATATATACATATATATGTAGCACTGTAGCAGTGTCCTCCTGTTGCTCACTGATTTGCTCAAGCAGGTACCAGTAATGTCTCACAAAAAATTGTGAGACTTGTTGTTACTATTTTTGGCATATTGAATACATCATGATGGGTAGCTTTCCAGGCTTTGCGTGCAGGCGAGATACTCTCGGTAGCTTGCCAGGCTCTCCAAGAGGTGCAGAGGAATATTGAACCCAGGTTGGCCGCATGCAAGTTGAACACCCTACCCGCTGTGCTATCACTCCATATATATATATATTATATATACATTGTTTGTTTGTTTGTGGGCCACAGGAACACTCCTGACTGACTCTGAGCTCAAGGAATCATATGTGTTGGGGATCAAACCGAGGTTGGTTGTATGGAAGGCAAGCATCTTGCCCTGTATTATCTATCTCTCTGCTCCCGTCCCTTTGTGAACCTTAGGCAAAGATACAGTGCAATTATTCCACATACTATCAAGAATATATCTTTGTTGTTACACTGAACCATTATGTTCATCAAACAAAAAGTACTTTCTCATCAAGAACTGAAAGAGTGTAGGGAGGTGATGCTAGAGAAACTGAACAGGTCAGTTTTTGTAAGAATAATAAATTGCAGTGAGGTAATCTATTCTAATATAATAGAAAGTGCTCAATGACAGATGAGTACACATTCTTTTCAAGTGTACATGGAATAGTC